AAAGAAAAAAGAAGTCAATGAAAGTTAGTTGTATGAATAATATGATTTAGATCAACAATAATTTATATTCAATGATCAATTGATGACTAATGTTCATGTTCAAGCCTGTTTTAGGTATAGAATTAAAATCTAAGCATAAAACTATTTTTTGTTATTATAAAAGATACTGTGATTATTAGAAACTAACGTTAAGAAGCAAATTTTAAAAATTCCGAAATAAATGATTGATCTCGTTTGTGTTTATGTGTTTTCTTCAGTTTACTGGTGATACTCTCAGTTTCCTGTGGCTTGATTTTCTTTAAAAGACCATAAATCAAAAAATATTAAATATTTTGACTGTTCCTTTTAGGATAAGCTAAAAGACATTATAATCTAATTATTAGACTGATTTCTGTCATCAGAATGTATAAAAAATGTCGGGCCGAAATCAGACTCAAATTCTTCCTTAGTTTGTAGAACTACCCACATATCATAATTAGGCATAAGGTATGTTGACTGGGAAAAAAAATTTAATAAGAAATGGTTTAGACAATAGGCATTAAAATTGAGGAGTGGAGGCTCGCTACGTCACAACTATATAGAAAATCTACAAAGGCGAGATGTCATGTGACTTTTTATTGATTACGCAAAAAAATATATTAATACGTGCTCAGTATTCTGCAATAATCTACATGACAGACAGACAAAATTCAAACGTTTGCATGTTGAATAAAAGTGGTTAATTTTAAGCAATTGAATAAGGCCCCATGAAGACCTCACTATAGAAGGAAACGTCACATTTTTTTAATAATGACGCCAAGTGGGTGTACCATTAGGGCTTAATTGTCTCACTCATAACTTTATATTCTTTGCTTATACTAAATAATTATTTATACTTATACTTTCATTTAATCATAAAATAGTAGCTCGGTGGCGTAGTGGATTAACGCCGCGGCCCGCGATCGTTTTCGTTAAGCAGCTTTCGCAAGGGTCGGTCACGGGATGGGTGACCAAAAAAATAATATCTCGAGCTACTCCGTGTTTCGGAAAGCACGTTAAGCCGTTGGTCCCGGCTGCATTTGCAGTCGTTAATACCCTCCAATCCGCATTGGGCCAACGTGGAGGGTCATGGCCCATCCTCCTTAACCATCCATAAAGAAGGCCTGAGCCCCTGCAGTGGGGACGTAAAAGGGCTGATGATGATGATGATGATGATTAATCATAAAATTAGTCCCCAAAATAATTTGAAAGAGTACCTAAGTTAGAAAATGAAAACTAGACTGAACATTATTTTATCATACTTTACCCTCTTTATGTTAAAATCACAAAATATATTTCTAAATGAAGATTTAAAAAATCCTCACATTGTCACCATCAGCCAATTAATGTTACCGCTTAGGTACAGGGCTTCTCTATGGAGGGAATTGAACTACATTGAATAAGATAAATGAGCCATCGTGCGGGCCCAGTGTGGTAAGTGGGTTTTAGCGTTTGTTGATGCAGCCGGGACCTACGGCTTAACGTACCACATGTATTTTTTTTATTTTCACCCATTTAAGACCGGCCATTATGAAAGCTACACCACACCAGAAAGCTCCTATAGAAAAAAATAGACAACTCTAAAAATAACTAATTCCACACAGGCACAATCTTGGACAAAAGTAGTACAATACAATAAAATATATATAGGAAATATATATGAGTCATAACTTAGCCGGTATTATAAACGAAGCGAATTCTTTAAACCTTAAAATCGATTACAGAATTCAAAAGGGATTAAACAATAACATCTGCAGAATATAAAATTTATTTCGTATCAAAGTTGACTCAGGAAACAATTTCAAAAGAGCAATGACCACGCTTTGTCGTGCCCGCATTACGTGCTAAAAACAATTTTATCGTGCCTGCAAAGGCTTGTAAATAGTCTACTTCTTTATATAACAATACAATTTTTCTCTATGGTACAATAACAAGTAGTTTACAAAGAATATAATGTATAAAATTATTTTTTATTTAAAAAAGTATTGCTGTACCATTGAAAGCAAAGAGATCCAGCTCATATAGTCATGTCTTTCTTTATACCGTGTACAGTCGGCCAAGAAAGTGGTCTACCACCCTAAGGTTGAATTTCGCGTGTTACGTCAACTAACAACAAGGTTGATTTTCCGTAGCATTAATTTTTTGACACGTCAAGTACACGTCATTATTGCTATCTTCATCATTTTGACGTAACCTTTGACAGTAATTATCTATACCTATAATAAAAATGTAACAAGGTTACATTTGTAAGATATTTTGGAAAAAAAAATATATGGACGGCCTTCATAAGACTAATAGAAGCCAAAAATATTTTTTTTCTGTCCGTCTGTTTGTATGTTTAAATACTTTAGAGTTAGAATATCGTAAATAAAGTCTTATAGTCTACAAATACCCTACATTAGAATGTAGATTAATTATATTATAATACAAATAAAAAAAATCAGTAGGTAGTGAAATGCTATGCGTAAGAAGCTATGCGTGTTATAGGTCTGAATATACTGAGATAACGGATAACAGAAATGAATAGCGACGAAAACATATTGCGCCGACGACATAACATATTGAAAAACATATTAGTGCGAGACAAGGGCTAAAACTAGAAGAGATAGTGAAAATGCTAATTCTTTGGTTGTTAAAAAATATATACAATTCTTTTATAAAATTATAATTCTTAAAATCTTGTGTAGCCGCCATCTGCCTCTATAACAGCTTGGAGACGTTCCCTCATCGAGCCCACCAGTCTTGAGCAGATATCAGACCCACGTGTTTCCTCCCAAACCTCATTGCAGTGCCCTTGTAGTGCTTCTGCTGTTCGTTCATTACGGTTACACCATCTCTGAACCATAAGAACCCACATATTTTCAATAGGGTTGAGATCTGGCGATTTTGCAGGCCATGGTATCAAGTTTATTTCCGGATGTGCATCAAACCAAGCACGTGTTACCCTTGCTTTATGTAAGGAACAGTTATCCTGTAAATAATTAAATTGACGCATTTCATTTTCTGGATAAACGTTCCAGACGGATGGCAACATAGCATTTTGGAGAACATCAACATAATCTGATGCCGTTGCTCGTGGTGGCAAAAAGGTCAAGTCTCCAACACCATCAGCAGTCATCCATCCATACAAATTTACCGAGATACGACTCGATTCTCTATTTGGCACGACATGATTTTGCGTGTATCGCGTTTTATTGAATCGCCAAAGGTGTAGACGCCCGTGTTGACTGGATTTAAAAGTTTTCTCGTCACAGAAAACAGTGTTACTCCAATCAAAATCCAAATATTCTATTACGAAATTTAATCTGGCCATTCTATGAGCGTCAGTCATATAAATTTTCTTTGCATAACGCCTGTGATGTAAGCCCATGTAATGTAAATGGTTTCTAATGGTTTGGAGAGTCACGTCAAATATGTCGGCAAAATAACGCGTTGGTATAAAGCCAGATTCCTCATAACTCCGTCTCATGAAGACTCGCTGAGTATCTGATATTTCAGATCTACGACCGCTACGACTCCGATCGTTCAAATTCCCCTCCTTGCTTTCTCGTCTTATCCAAAGACGGACAGTTTGTCTCTATAATCAAAACTAAATATGAACAGAAAAAATAAAAAAAAAATTTACACTCGGACTTGGTCTAAGATTTTACATTAAACTCACGTCAGACATAATAATACTTACGGACACATTTAATTCTCTAGAAATCTCACTAATATTCAAACCATCATTGTGTAATGTGATTATTTGTGCTCTTTCGTTAATGGATAAATTTCGGGGCATTGTAGTGTAAATTAATTAGGCGAGAAAATATTTGACATGAATTGTCAAGTGATATATTCTTTTTCAGTAAAAGAGTTTTCGTAACAAAATAGTTTCCACTTTGAAGTGACCAACTTAAATTTTAAATTTATGAAATATTGTGAAGACTATTTGTTGTTGCAAATTATTATCTAATGCATAGGCTGCAAAGGTCAAAATAACATTTGTGCTCTACGACAACACGTCAGCATTGTGCATCTCTTTTATTGTTTGTATGCAATTCTAAGATTCGCCTTTAGAGATGCTTTAAAGACACGGGAAATGTTGTCAAAACTGGTAGACCACTTTCTTGGCCGACCGTACATACACGGTATAAAGAAAGTACACTAATATTTATTTTTAACCCCCGACGCAAAAAGAGCGGTATTATAAGGATAAAGTGTATGTGTGTGTGTTTGTCTGTCTGTGGCATCATAGCTCCCGTTTTTTGTTGCATTAAAGGTGATTGTTGTTGACTGTAATGTTTGATGGAAATCTGTTGAGTCTTTTAAAACTTGTGGAAACTGAAAGTGGGGAAGAATAATCGAATGTCTGCAGTATACTCGAATGGGGTCTCAAATGAAAGTGCACTGACAGAGAATATTGATAACTTAATCGATAGTGTTTCCAAACCTAACAATTTAATATGACCCACAACGCTACGCATTTTCTTAGAATTATTAATACATATCCAGGTATTTTAAGATTGAGTTTATTTTTTACTTTTTAAAGGGAACTTAGGTTATAGTGTCAGGGGTTTTTTTTCCTCTGTCTGTTTATGTACGAATGTGAAATATAAGTAGTCTGTTGTTTGTTATATATTTGAAGGGCACAGAGGAAAAATATATTAGATCACTATGACAATGAACTAAGAAATTCTAAAACAGTGAACGAAGAAACTGTAAAAGCTTGAAATAAAAGAAATACTGAACCAGAGCCACTTATATAGAACCCTTGTTTATTCTCCGATAGAATCTGGCAATAGACTAAACTTATAATTAAACCTCCTTAAGGAAGAAAAAGTTTTTATTAAAACCTATAGCAAATCTCTAGCAGCTGACTTTTTTTTAATTTTGAACGTCATTTGTCAAATTTCAGTGCGTCTTGCGACGGTATAAACGTCTCACTCGTTTCGTATTATTTTATAATATTTTATTTTGTTATTTAAATTTTTAAAAGCATCATGTCGACCTGTGACACTGAAATAGAAGATATCAATAATGTCGATATAACATTGATGACATTGAGGAAGCCTACGGAGTTGAAGAAGGTCATTGACTCCATACCTAAGCCGGAAAGAGCTGTGCCAAAGAATGGCCTGCCGCTATGGTACAGACTTGGGTTGGAATGCAAGTTGCCTGTACCCAAGATGCCGGTCGGGAAAATCTTGTTCGCGCGAGGCAGGATAGGTGAAGATGTAAGTACAACTATCTAATAAGATATAAAAATCTAAGTCGATACTGAAAAGTTATTATACAATTACAATAAGACCTTCAACGTTTTCGAATTTTATGTACTTACTATTGTATAAATTAAAGAGAAACCTAAATAAATTAATAAAAAGATCTGTCTACACTTCATGCCGTATCCCTTGTGAGGCAGGCGGAGAGAACAAATTGCCACAAGGCACGGTACATACATCTTTCGCTTCCTTCTTTTTTCATAAATGCTCGCCGGTGTTTATAGCTGCTGATATCACCTAACAGCACGCTATTGATTTTGTCGTGAAAATTGTCTCGTGATCTACCTCGGCTTTTACATCCTTCCACTTTCGTTGCATTAAACTAAGTATATACCTACATGCAATTAGTACTACTACTATTAGTTATAAAATAACTAACAGTTCTAATTTATAATTTTTGCGGTACGCTTCTTAAAGGCCGCTCTAAATACCCATTTAAATCTGCTGAAATATAACGATATACAAGGTCAGGTAGCTTGCACGCTGATTTTTTTAAATGTCGCCATCTCTGAGGTTCCGGGTTCAATTCCTGGTCGGATCAATATCTAGGATACGTCTGAGTGATGTGTTAACTTCACTTAAAATTTCCATAATACAAGTGCTTTATGCGATGTTGTGAAATATAAATACACAAACGATTTTTGTGTTTCAGAAAACAGCTCTTAGATCAATTTATGACCTTAGTATTAGAAACTTTTAAAGGAAAATATTGACATAATAACTTGATAATGTTGCTTTTCAATACATAGACGAGAATTTAATGTAAGTACGTTCGTAAAAAATTTTTTTTTTTCTTGAAAAAGTGATATACACAATTTTAATACTACAAATAAAAACAAATTAACGGTGCTTGTCACTAGACTGCAAAAAGTTAATAAATAATTCGGGGATCTTTGTGTTCGCTTCTACAATAAGGTCCCAAGCAAAATACATCAATTATATATTATGCAGATTAAATCTACTATTAAAAATACTTATTATAAAAGATTATTATAGGGTATCTGATTATATAACAGATAAGAATTCTTGGACTTAAGATGGTCCAGCAACTGGATAGATCATTTTTTCTAAACTCGTTATATCTCAAAATTATCCTGTTGCCATTTTTAAATTATCATTATAAGATCATAGTTTTGTGAATTCAAAAGTACTATTAAGAAGTCTACTTGAAAAATATTTCGACTTGGCACCACAAAGTCTCTTCCTCGAAATCTGAGTGATCATAATCAGATACCTAACTCTATATCTTAATCTATATTAGGATTTAGATTACGTTTCATACTCGGGACTTTAAAACCTATATAATGTAGAAACCATACTCAATGTTTCCACACTTCTAACAAACAGAATAATACAATATATCATTATTATGCTAAATCCAAACATAAGAATCAAGATATAAGCCTAACGTGGTTCGCTTATTATGCAAATTCATTCGCTTATTCATATTTAGAGACACATGACTCATGATGAAGTCTTCTAAAATCGTAAATAAGACTTTAGCGATTTCATTTTGTTGTAATACCCTGTAAAGTTGTCAAGCTAAGCTGACATTACACTTGAGTGCTCTGCTCATAAATTTTAAATGAAACTGTCGTAAATATTCGTTGAAAATCTAGCATTTTCGCAGACAAAAACAGGAAAAGAACATACTGATATTAAAATGAGGAAATATCTTATTGTTTGTTTGGATCGAATATTTTAAATTACAAATTATTAATGTATTTAAATAACTAATGTATTAAAAATTATTTGAACTACGAGAAGCTACATCATACGCGAGTGAAATTGATTATATCTTACGCGGGCGAAGTCTCTGACAAACAGGAGATAATTGATAACATTATAACGCATCTGCCGTTTTTTCTATTGGTAACTGGATATTTTATTTATATCCAGTTACCAATAGAAAAAACGGCAGATGTGTACAGACAATATTCATCGCACAGAATAAAATAAAAAATTAACTTTATTTTTCGAAGCGTCAGAACTTGTTATATATGCAAGAACTAGCTGTTTTTCCCCAATTGCGCCCATCGAAATTATTACCTACGTCATTGGTGTATGATGAAGCTTCTCGTAGATGAAAGAATTTCCATAATCGGATCAGTATTTCCGAAGATTACCTTCTACAATCAAACAAACGAACTTAGAAATTTTACCTTTTTATAATATTACTATAGATAATAACCATGGCTTGATATTTTCTATTGCTATTAAAATATTTATATGACACTCCGTATTTTTGATGATCTATCATAACAGCGTTGAAGATAGAAATTTATTGGTCCCTTTATGGGTATGTTTCGTTTAAAGCTGGGCTATGCAAATATTATCACGTAACATAATAAAATACCTACATTTAAGTATAGCTTTTATATATGCCAAACAGTGTGCGAAAAATAATCACAGTAATCTAAAGTTATTCAGGCATAGGGTTTCAAATAGAGAGGCGTGCGAAAACCTGCGTGTTTGGATTGGTAATAAGTTTTATAGAATAAATTGGGATGCTTTTAAGAGAGCTGTTTTTTTTTGGTATTTTTTAAAGATATTTTGGTATTTTTGTGATTCGTTTCGGATTTCATAAAAGATTATTAATTGGGATACATTTATGACTTACTTACGGCCGGTTTCTGAATAGGGAAAAGCACAAAATCTCAACTGATTATTCTCAATAACTTAAGTTTTTTACGTTTCATATGGCAAAAAGTCCTAATTTTATCCAATTGCTGTCAACTGATCATTAAAAAATTATAAATCAGAAAACCTGATTAATTGACGTTTAAAATGGCTTAAGCACGGTTTGAGACGTGCTCAACTTTAAATTCTCAATTCAGAAACCGGGTGTTAAGGATTAACCTGTCCAAATTCATGGCCAACTAATGTTTGAAAAAAGTAAATATTAGAAGTAACCTACTCATCTCATCGTTACTCGAATGCTTTGTATAACGATGCCTTGTTTATTGTAAAAGTAGATAAAACCAGTTACACTCTGATCAAGATTCAATTCGTGTGTATTTTTATTAGAAAAAATGTATTCTTTTTTGTTTGTTAAGATTATTTGTGATTTTTTTATTGATAATGTTTTATTGATCAATTGTAGTCAAATTATAGCGGATTTTATTTCTAAGAACACCAAACTAAGCCAAGCTACATGAAATAATAATTTATAGTCAAGCTAAATGGATATATAAAATTTCTCCACTTAATTTTTAAAACTTAATTCATTTAGAGTAGAGTTTAAATCGTTCGAGAAAATTTGATTTATTATCCAACGTGCTGGTGTGAACACCAATTGTGCAGGTGTGCTTATAGTGTTATTTTGGAGTCCGCAATAATATTTCCCAATAATAATCCGTAACGACAAAAGCACCACTTCCCGGGTCAATTTTTCCAGTAAATATAAAAGTACTGTGGTTTCCACAGGTGGTTCCTTTACGACCCTTCTAATAACGTTTCTTTGAAGTCGAATTAGCGGTTCGAAAATACACGAAATTTTGTTTTCCGCCAAACCTAGGCATTCGGGTGTCATGTTTATTTGAACGAGTAGTATCTCATCTCAGAATACCAGGGAAAAAGTGGCATTTTTGATTGATAATATTTTCCAGTATAGCATTGTGAATGCAAAACTGATCAAATATAATAATAAGAACAAAGTTTCATCTTCATCGAAAGTTTAAATGTTTATAAAAATATTTCCTTCGACTGTTTGGGTGGATGGCCTGAACATTAATCAAAATACGCTCCGTAGTAATGAAAAAGTAACAAATACTTGAAGAATTCGTCAGACCTGTTAGGTCCTGGGTAGCTCAATGGTTAGAGCAGTCGCTCGGATTGCGAAAGGCTTTGGATTCGAATCCCATCTCAGAGTACCAGGGAAAAGTATTTTTCAATGTATTTTTCATTAAGAATATTCTCCAGTGTAGCATTGTGAATGCGAAATTAATCAAATCATAATGCCGTTGTTTAATAATTTGTGGTCACCCTGCTCCGTGCTAAACTACTTGTCGATAAATTGCTTATTGCAATAGCGATCGATGGCACAGCTGCGCTTATCCGTAGCATTGAATACTTCGATGGCGTAGTTAACACGTTCAGTCTAAGATTCTGAAGTTAAGCATCTTTATCTAGAGCAGGCTGGAAAAATTTATTATAACGAGCTCCTCCGAGCTTCGAAAGGCACGTTAAACCATTTCCCTATTAGATTCCGTTCATAAGGATGACCTGTTCCCAAGCAGAATGTATATTAATAGGCTGATGACGATCAGTACTTTTCTCTCTAAACAATTTCTAAATTTTATTTTGGGTTTGTTTTATAGCTATTCCATTGTTACATATAAATTAAAGAAATGCCTTCTCTGGACTATGACAAACATATCAAAACCAAAATCTGCTAAACCAGCCCAGACTCACTCGAGTTTTAGCGAGACAAACTAATAGCAGTCAGCAATGTTTTTTATATAAGTAATATAGCAGCTATAGTATCTCTAAGTCAGATGAGGAAATGAATCTGAGATAGGAACTGAGTCCAAAGAAGGAATAAGCTTGAAGAAAAAAGCAAACGGAAGAAGAAAACAAGCCTGGAGCAGAAAATAAGTCTGAAGAAGAAAATGGGTCTTAAGAACAAAATACAGAAGTCTACAGTAAAATTTTGAATAATGAATGGCAAGATAAGAGGAACAAACTACTTAAAAATTCTTTGCAGTTTTATGCCGGGGTCTGTTCTAAGAAAGTGTATCTCTCAAAATCCATTCAAGACCCTTGCAAATGCAAAAAGAAATGCTGCGAAAAGTTCAATGAGGAATCCAGGAAAGCTTTATTTGAGTCTTATTGGAAAATTGGTGATCATTAAAATCAGTGGCAATACATTTTAAGATATATAATACCTAATAACATAAAAAACATGCATATAGAGAGAAAGCTAATCGATTACAGACAACAATTTATTTTTTACC